ATAATCGAATACCTAGTTTGCAAAATATCTGACTATTTTAATCATCGAGATAAATCTTTCTGAATATTTGCTGTTCGAAAAATCTAGTAACTGCGTTTTTTCTCAAACATTCGCGCATCAAACAATCAATTTACTCCCATTACTCAAACTTTATTCGATGAATATTCGATCTCAACTACAGTAGCAATGAATACCTATCCTAAGGTTTGAGCCGTATTTCAATAAAATGCAAGATTCCCTTCATTGAGATACGCATTATTTTCATTAAAAATATGCTTCATAAATTCAGTCTTCAGACCTTCTGCATTGCTTCGCGATTTAATCCCATTGAACGCGCCGTTAATAATTGAAAGCTTTTATTTCGGTGCTTTATGCTAATATGTGCATAGTGTTATGCTAAAAAGGTGTGATAATTCTATTATTGGAGGATAGTGCCCTAGAAGGTAATCATCTTTCATTACCGACTTTTTTTTTTTGAAATTCTAACACTGGCTTTATAAAACACCATAACCTATTCTATTTAGAGTAGCGTTTCCATTTATGTGAGGCGAAAATGAACGTCAAAGCGCTAGTATTTTTACCCATTCTGGTCACTGCTATGACTACCAAACCAATTAACAAATGTCGAATATGTGAAGAGATAGTGTTACTGTTGAGACTTGCTGTCTCCATAGGAATAAACGCCACACCTGAGGAGGTATGGACAGTATGACTCGTATTTCTCTTTTATTTTCTATAATCTCTTAGCTAATGGAGTACAAATGCGACCTGTACGAAAGTGAAAAGGCAATGCAATTATGTGTCGACGTAGTTACCTCATTCTCAATTAGTGGAAATGCAATCCAGCATTCTCAGAATTTAGCGAATATTACGGTATGTCCCATCATTCGCTCTATTTTTGTCACAAACGATAATCATTGTACTTTATCTCATCCTTTATTTTTTAGGAATGGGAAAATGAATATCGAATTTGTACACAGGATCTTTTCTACTGCAGCTGAGGAGAAATGATGGAAACCTAACCATAATCAACCATTTCAAAATCAGTTGTATGTTAATAACAATATGGGACATCAAATTTCACTGCAAAATTATATTTTGCCATGACTAGTAAGAGATATGCCTAACATTAAA